TTGTATGAACTGTGACTAAGTCTGACATCTTCGTTGAGCGTACAGTTTGAAGAGTATATCGCTATACAGCCCACACTCTATACTTTCTTAATGAACAGAGTCATAGTTGAGCTCTCAAGAAGGGGCCATCCACAAAGTTGTTGTTGACAAATCTGTCTGCAAAGTGATAGATTCGATTCTAGCTTGTATTGATAAGAGTAGACCATCGCCATGCACTATGTAGCTTATCCTTGTAGGGTTTGTAATGAGGAATGTGAGAGTGATCCAGGAGAAGATGGCTGTACCAGGATTGGCTCAGGCTGTGATGTATCTAACTGCTTCTTCCACCTTTGCTATTGGCATTAAGCATCAGAAGGATTTCTGAAGTAAAGAAAAGCAGCATGGAATTGTAGTACATGCAACTCCAAAACAAAGGGCAAGAAGGGGAACAGCAGTTAAGGGCTAGTTAAGTACCTGTATTCATGTAATTACATGTGAATTATGTAAAGCTTTACTAAGTTCACATCAATTAAACTTCGGTTGCAAAGTACAGCTCGGATCTTGAGGTACATGTATTTTTACGCCCCTGTAGAGTGAACATAAAATCCAGAATCACTTTGAACTCATAAAAAAGACAATAAGGGTACAAGTTTTTTAGTTTACATTCTAAATGGACAAAACATTGGTTTATTTCATGTTTCTCTTCACATCTGTAGAAATAATACATGTACAAATAAAACTCATTAAGAGGCCATTTGGACTTCCCAAATTCTATGTGCCTTGTTACGACAGGAACCTTGCATTGTTAAAGAGTGGAAAACTTTTAATAACAAAGACTTTCAACCTGCTTTTTTGTTGCTGTAACAGGAACCCTGTATTAATAGTGCTCTTCTTATTTAGATTAGACTGTTTGCACAAAGTAAATGTCGCTACCTGATGTTACGTATATTACATACAGTGAAAGCTCCATCAGTCAATTCTGGTAACTCAAAACTCATGTTACCGGTAATTAATTCAACAAACATTCCAATGTCTTCAGTAATAATAACATAAAACCTGCTTAATTACTGAAAAATCTTAAATTTTGAACTTGTGCCCTTGGGGTTTGACTTAACAAGGTATCACTGCCATTGTCACAAGTACATTTATGTCCTTTCTCCACTAATTTACTAAATTATCTGCCAGTGTTATGGTAGCCTGTGATTTAATTACTGAAAATTTTTGTCAGCATTTTGAAGTAAGACTTTAAACATGTTAATCATTCTCTTTGAATGTTAAGGAATATTCATCAAGCAGGCTCTTGTTCTGGTGGGACATATCCAACTGTATGCGCAAACGGTTAAAAAACAAAGTTTTTCTTCAAGTTCATGTTTAGTTACTTCGCATAGTAGTAAAAGTCACATGACAGATTGAAACACAGTGACTCGCACCTACTTGTTCAGGTGGGGCTTGTTTCCAATGGTAACTTTGAACGATAGATACACATGGTGGATAGTTGACAAGCATCCCAAGGAATTTTTCTGGGCCCACAGATGGCAAGTTTTGGGCAAGCGTGCCCCTGGTCTATGGCAAGTGTGCCAAACTTGTTTCTTAAATTAAAGGAAAACAAAATAAATGGATGGGTGACCTGAAATGCCCAGAAAACCGAAAAACACTTGTGGTTATGCATATTGTCTAATGTGTTTTAGAGAATATTATTATTCTCAGTGTGTTGAATTTGTCTTCTCAAACTCACATTCAAGACAACTTTTTCTTAAAAATCAGATGGCTACCGATATGTTGAGTTCATTACTGCTTCTTTTAAAACAATTTCAGCTCTGTATAGAAAACATGATGCTAGATAATGATGGGCAAGTACTTCACGAATATAACAAGGGTGTCATTTTTTTCTGCCAAAGTGAACACCTACAGATAAATGAGTCTTGTGAAAATATTCAAGTCACAATAACTTGAAAATACCCCTGGTGTTTTTATGGGTCTTATACATTTTTACACAGCTCTTTATTTCATTTGTTTCCAACAAAAATCTGGAGAAATGGTTTCAAAATCAGATTTTACCTGTAATAACTGTACGGTTGACACTTTTTTAAAAATCAAATCTGCAGCATATTGATCTAGTGCATGTGTGCTATTCTGAACTAAGTGGTGCACAAAGGCACGGGAGTGAACATACAATCCCCATTCCGTTACATTTGAGTGAGTGGATTTATGAAAGTCTGGAACCAATTACTGATGCAGCAGCCTCAATTGGCCTCGAATTGGAGGGTATTTTAATTGGCAATGGTTTCAGGGTTGCTGGACCACTGAATTATTTGCGCTATCGCCATCTATTGGTTCTATCCCTTGACATGCAGTACACGTAGCGGTTACTTGCTGGGGCATGTCCTTTGTAATGAGACTACGAATGACCTCTGACCTGTACCGTCTGTATACCGTATTGTCAATGTCAGCCATGAACATGTAGCAGGAACAAAGCACATGCTGAGTGTCTGGACACTGTGTCTTTCTTATGTCTGTCCCAGGATGTCATCACATGGTGGCAGCAGCATAAGTGATCGATGTACAACATGAAGACGCAAAATATATAGCCCAAATGGACTGTGCTAGGCTATATTCTGCGTGGCCAAATTCACGCTCTGTCGCGTACATGTCTCGTGTGTCACTACCGCTCGAGGCCCTAACGCTGCATCGCCGGTGCATACACTAACTACACCGTACTTTACACGCGTAGACTGTGCATCGCTACACATACGAGTGCAACGTGTGTCACGCTGGGGTAAGCACCAGTCGCCTGTATACACAAGTAACATGGCGGAGTCTAATTTTAGTCATGCAATACCGCATCCGACAATGGACTAGGNCTGCTGCAACAGTTTCCAAACATGTAAGTTAACTAGTCTCAGGTCTAAAATGAGCCTCTTTTTCCCGTTGGCCTGAATTGAGACTGACAGTGGACTAATAACTTTTGGTTTGTCATTGCATAGGATGATTCTGCCTTCATTCAAAAACTGTAACATCGATTCTGATAGGAATTGGGAATATGTCATAGCAGAGCAGTTGTTTGCTTTGACGGATGGAACTGGAAAAGTTTAACTGGCAATTTATATCCTGTATTTATGACGTCTAATATAAATGTGTTATCACAATTATTTTGCCAAAATGCAATATTCCTGCGGAGATTTCCTTTGACTCGTTTTGCAACATCACCTTGCTCAAGTTCAAACTCTTAATGGTGTATAAAAACAAATTCTGAATACACGTACTAATCTTGCATTATCTTGTCTTTGCAGGACGTCTGCACTGTTAAATTTTGCCCTGGTCTAGTGGGTTCTGACATCTTTCGCTGAGGTGACACAAGTATGGGGCGCGGTAGTCTTGCCTGGTTGAGGGGGCACTCTTTCCTCCAATGTTCCGCTGATCCACATGCAAAGCATGCTTCTGGTCTTGCTTGTTTTCCGTATGCTGAAAAAGCGGCGTGTCTGTAGAAGACGCCTGGATTAGAACTGATGTATGATATACGTGGTTGAACTGGGACGTGATGTATCGGCACTGTAGGGACGAAAACGATTGCTTCCTCTCTGAGATTTGGCTTTAATCTTCTTTAGGGCTCTTGACTCAGCACGGTTGATTCGTTTTTCGTCCTCGGAATTCGGAGGCGAGATCGTTAATCTCACACTGCTTGACGGTCTCCCTACTTGACCACCTTCGCTCGTATCTGCAAGCCTAATGAGCTTCTGTCTATTTGCAAGTTTCTTAGTGGCGGAATCTATGAGACTGGAGACCGAGCTAATGTCTCCTGCTTTGATTGCTTGTTGAGATTTAGCGAGGATTTCCATAAGATCTTTGTTGAAGTTGAATTACTTGTGATTGCCTTCTCTCTTCCATTTTGTAGTTGTTGCCGTTTTGATCTTCGATAGCTAGGAGTCTTGTTGGCATTGTTGCATCTCCGCGCGTAGTACAGCGCATGACTCCTTTATCGTGTTCTGTAGTTCGCTTGTCGTGCTTTGGAACGTCATAAGGAGTCGTTCTGCGTTGCCCGTATTGGATTCCATGATTGAGTGGATCGACTGACTGATGATAAACGAGAATGTAATCGTCTGTCGGTATGCAGATGGCAATTCACGCTTACACGACGCCTTATATATCCGGCATTTACCTCTCACAACCATAACTCTCCGCGCAGCGGAGTAATATTCTTAAGACCTAATTTTCGTACTAATTCACTGCCCCGTTCAACCATACGAAAATACATGTATAATATGCTTTCTTAATACTCTCTTTGTAATCGCCCAACGTTCAAAGTTTGGCGCCATTTCGCCGTCATTCAAAGGGTATGAACAATACAGGACTTAAGCCGACTGCTACTCCTAATTGCAATCACCCTACGTTCAAATCACGGTGCCATTTGGCCGTCATTAAAAGGGTATAAACAATACAGGGCTTAAACCGGCTGCTACTCCTAACATGTCGCCATTTCGCCGTCAATAAATGGGTATGAACAATACAGGGCTTAAGCCGACTGCCAATTCTAATTGCAATTACCCTACGTTCAAAGCACGTTGCCATTTGGCCGTCATTAAAAGGGTATGAACCATACAGGGCTTAAGCCCACTTCTGCTCCGAACACATTACCATTTGGCCGTCATTAAAAAGGTGTGAACAATACAGGGCTTAATTAAACCTACTGCATGAGTGCTACCCCTAATTGTAATTGCCCGACGTTCAAAGAACGGTGCAACGAAGGGTAATATTCACCTTTATTAAACCCAAGATACATGTAATGTAACATACGAAGACTAAATCATGGATGGCTTTCTCCAGTTCTCCTTAAGGTTATGGTACCATAAATTCGTACGCGCTATGAGTTACATTACATCGCTGACAGGCAATGATAATATTACATCTGTGCATCGCTACACATACGAGTGCAACGTGTGTCACGCTGAGGTAAGCACCAGTCGCCTACATATAGAAATAACATGGCGGAGTCTAATTTTAGTCATGCAATACCGCATCCGACAATGGACTGGGACAGTGCAGATAGACCGCAGGCCTATAAGGATTTCAAACAAACGGCCTCTATGTGGTTGAATGTACATAATATTGCAGATGCTGACCAGCACAACTACATTATATTATGGTCAGGCAAGGAGGGCCTACGCATGTTCAACACATGGGGCCTGACAGAGGATGAACTCAGAAACCCTCAGAACATTTGGGACAGATTTTCCAAGCAGATAGAGCCCAAGGAAAATTTTCGCATCCATCGCTTGGAATTCCAGCGATTTGTGCAACTCGACACTGAGAGCGTTGATGAGTTCTATACACGCTGCAAATCTAAAGCCATGAAATGTCAGTTCGCAGATGACGCAGCACTCAGTGAGAGAATCATTGAGGTGTTAATCTCTGGTGTGAAATATCCTGATGCGCAAAAGAAGCTGTTGCAGAAAGATGATACATTGCAATTGAAGGATGCCTTGGACATTTGCCGGACGCATGAAGCCAGTGTCAGACACATGGCCCAGTTGAGCCATATTGGCAAAGCCAATGTGGATGCCATCAAAACGCGTGGACATTGCAAGAACTGTGGTGGACAGCACCCATACAGACCACGTGACAGGTGCCCTGCATATGGTACGCAGTGCAATGGCTGTGGCAAACAAGGACATTGGCAGCACATGTGTCTCAGCTCAGGCTCAAAACCTCGCCCGAAACGCAAGTCACGTTCACGCACGAGAGGTTCGTACTCCCCCAGACGCGGCCGTCGACCATCGCGCTCTCAGTCACGCCAGACAAAGGAGGTTGACGCTGTTGAGTACGAAGTTTTAGCGGCCCAGGACCAGTTTGAGAGCATTTCGTTCGATACTATTCGCATCCAGCATGGTACCAAAGGCGGTGAATGTGCATCTGACACCCGCGATGAACTTTTCGCGTCACTCGACATTGAGTTAAAGCATCGTCCAGGATCGCATACGCTCAAAGTGAAGGTGGACACAGGTGCGCAAGGGAATATCCTACCCCTTCGCACATTTCGACGTATGTTTCCACAGCTACTCGACGCTGATGGGTTCCCTACACCTGGCTCTATTACCCCACATGATACGCTCCTTGTCGCTTACAATGGTACGCGCATCCACCAATACGGTTGCATCAAGCTTCATTGCTGTTACGGTGACGCGGACTGGGTGGATGCAACGTTCTTTGTGGCTGATACCGACGGTCCAGCAATCCTTGGACTTCCAACGTCGCGAGCACTTCATCTCATTACGCTCCATTGTGCAGTTCGCAAGGTACCGCCGCACAGCGGAAAGCTGGCGGATGGTGATGCCTCCCTACAATCGGGACATGGACAGAATACACCCATATGCACTAAGGACGACCTTTGCAAACTGTACCCTGATCGCTTCACTGGGATTGGACGGTTTCCCGGTGAGTACCATATCGAACTCAAGGACAATGCGTGTCCGGTCGTGCAACCTCCGCGCAAGTACCCCATCCAAATTAAGGAGGAGCTAAAAGCTGAACTGGACAGAATGGAAAGTCTGGATGTCATTGCTAAAGTGACGGAACCCACTGACTGGGTCTCGTCGCTGGCATTCAGCAGGAAAGACAATGGCAGCCTCCGAGTGTGCCTTGACCCACAGGCACTGAACAAGGCGTCCAAACGCACCTACCACAAGACTCCAACTCTCGAGGAGATAACCCACCAGTTCAATGGTGCGAAAATATTCAGCAAACTTGACGCACGACATGGGTACTGGAGCATTGTGCTGGATGAGGAATCCAGTCTTTTAACGACTTTCAACTCACCATTTGGGCGATATCGTTTTCGCCGCTTGCCTTTTGGCCTCAAGGTCTCCCAAGATATCTTCCAGGAGAAAATGGACATGATCTTGGAGCAGTGCCCTGGCACTCTTGGGATAGCGGACGACGTCGCGGTGTTCGGGGCGACAGTTGAAGAACATGACAAACATTTGCACAATCTCATGCATGTTGCCCGCAAATATGGTCTGATCTTCAATCTTGGCAAATGCGACGTGCGTACCCCATGCATCAAGTTCTTCGGTGGCCTATACGACGCATCGGGCGTGCACCCAGACCCAGACAAGGTCCAGGACATACATGCATTGCCCGCCCCCGGCACTGTCAATGAGCTCCAACAATTCCTCGGTTTCGTGCAGTACCTTGCACCATTTGTTCCCCGGCTGGCTGACCACACTGACACTCTTCGCGCATTGCTCCGCAAGGATAGTGATTGGCAATGGAATGAATCGCATCAGAAGGCATTCGACCACGTGAAGTCACTGATCACTGCAGAATGTACACTTACCTACTTCAACCCTCACAAACCAACAGTGGTACAAGTAGACGCATCCTCCAAGGGACTCGGAGCCGCCCTGTTACAGGACGGCAAGCCAATCGCGTTCGCCAGCAAAGCCTTGACAGCCACAGAACAGCGATACGCTAATATAGAACGGGAGTTGCTGGCTGTGGTTTTTGGCTGTACGCGGTTCCACACTTACCTGTACGGAGCAAAGTTTGTTGTGGAATCAGATCACAAGCCCTTGGAGAACATTCAACACAAAAGCCTTGCAAACACTCCACCGCGGCTTCAGCGCATGATGCTACGTCTGCAACCCTACGATTTCACGATCATCTACAAACCTGGTCGCGACATGGTCCTCGCTGACGCGATGTCCAGATTAAATCCGGCATCTGGACCTGCGATTCCCTTCGATACGACCATTTATGCAATGCAGTTTTCGCGAGCAAGACTTTCTCAACTGAAGCAGGAGACTGCAAGCGATTCAACCCTCCGACCACTGGCAGAGATAATCATGGTTGGATGGCCAGAGAATGCAAAAGACTTGCCAAAATGCCTTCGCCACTTCTGGTCTTGTCGGGATGAACTGTCTGTTGATGATGGCCTAGTCATCAAGGGCGACAGAATCGTCATTCCTGAGTCNCGGGTCTCGTCGCTGGCATTCAGCAGGACAGATAATGGCAGTCTCCGAGTGTGCCTTGACCCACAGGCACCGAACAAGGCGTCCAAACGCACCTACCACAAGACTCCAACTCTCGAGGAGATAACCCACCAGTTCAATGGCGCGAAAATATTCAGCAAACTTGATGCACGATATTGGTACTGGGGCATTGTGCTGGATGAGGAATCCAGTCTTTTAACGACTTTCAACTCACCATTTGGGCGATATCGTTTTCGCCGTTTGCCTTTTGGCCTCAAGGTCTCCCAAGATATCTTCCAGGAGAAAATGGACATGATATTGGAACAGTGCCCTGGCACTCTTGGGATCGCAGACGACGTCGCAGTGTTCGGGGCGACAGTTGAAGACCATGACAAACATTTGCACAATCTCATGCATGTTGCCCGCAAATATGGACTGATCTTCAATCTTGGCAAATGGGACGTGCGTACCCCATGCATCAAGTTCTTCGGTGGCCTCTACGACACATCGGGCGTGCACCCGGACCCAGACAAGGTCCAGGACAAACATGCACTGCCCGCCCCCTGCACTGTCAATGAGCTCCAACAATTCCTCGGTTTCGTGCAGTACCTTGCATCATTTGTTCCCCGGCTAGCTGACCACACTGACACTCTTCGCGCATTGCTCCGCAAGGATAGTGATTGGCAATGACATGAATCGCATCAGAAGACATTCGACAACGTGAAGTCACTGATCACTGCAGAATGTACACTTACTTACTTCAACCCTCACAAACCAACAGTGGTACAAGTAGACGTATCCTCCAAGGGACTCTGAGCCGCCCTGTTACAGTTTTCGCGAGCAAGACTTTCTCAACTGAAGCAGGAGACTGCAAGCGATTCCACCCTCCGACCACTGGCAGAGATAATCATAGTTGGATGGCCAGAGAATGCAAAAGACTTGCCAAAATGCCTTCGCCACTTCTGGTCATGTCGCCGGGATGAACTGTCTGTTGATGATGGCCTAGTCATCAAGGGCGACAGAATCGTCATTCCTGAGTCGCTGCAAAGTGACGTTCTTGAGAGAATACACGCTTCACATCAAGGTGTTACTAAATGCCAGCTGAGAGCTAAAGCGTGCGTGCATTGGCCAGGAATCAACAAGGACATTGAACAGTTGATCGGGAGATGCCCTGTGTGCCAGACGCACCAGCGGAAACAGCCCCCTGAACCGCTCTTGCCCCATTCCGTTCCTCAACGATCATGGTAGACTTTCGCGACAGACCTCTTTCATTTCAAAAATGCTGAATATGTCATTGTCGCGGACTATTACTCTGAGAACACATTTATCCGTCGACTCCATGGGCAGTGCACTAGCGCAGCAGTTGTCACTCTAACGAAACAAATCTTCAGCGAGCACGGTATTCCAGTGACAGTCGTTAGTGACATTGGTCCCCAATATGTTAGTCGCAAGTACTGCCAGTTCGCCAGTGACTGGGTTTTTGACCATGTCACCTCCAGCCCTCGATACCCACAGAGCAATGGGTTAATTGGCGGCGGATGATACAAACGGTGAAATTGACCTTGACAAAGGCTACGCAGTCTAACATGGACACTTACCTTGCACTTCTTTGTCTGCGTACAACACCGATCGATAACGCCCTTCCCTCCCCTGCAGAGGTACTATATGGCCGCAAGCTCCGTGACAACCTTCCTTCGAAGATCCGTAATGCGAGGTATTACAAAGAGACTGTCCACGAACGGTTGGTTGAGCGTCAAGCCAAACAGAAGAAGTACCATGAGGACACCGGTGTGCATACACTGCTTACACTGGTACCTGGACAGTCTGTCATAGTTCGAGACCACCATTCCTGTAGGTGGACACCTGCATTCGTTACTGACACTTGTCAGGAGCCTAGATCGTACATGGTTCAAATGCACGATGGCCAATCCCTTCGCCGCAATAGAACACACATTCGCGATATTGAACCGAAGAAAAAAAACCTTCGATTCGCTGACCCCTTGTACAGACCCCTAAACCCCAACAGGAGATAACTAACCAGTCTACTCCAGACCAGCACCATGAAGGAGACAAGAACTTGTCGAACAACCCCAAAACTGTGCCGTACCGTACCTGGAGTGGGCGTGTAGTTAAGAAACCGCAGATAGAAACTGATAGAGACATAGAACTGTTTCACTCACGAAACGAGAGTCTCAACATTGACCATATTGTTCATAAAGTTTTATTGGACATGTTGTTCTATCAAACCCCATGTAGTATAGAGTCTTATTGGCTGAACCAACAAGTCACGCTGCATGAAACATACTAGTTTGCTTTTATATTCATGTTTTATTTTGGTTTACCTTAGATAATTACATAACCAAGCATTTTGGGAAACAGCTATGTTAAGTGACCAAGTTTAATTATTCCTGAGGCGTTCATACCTGCATAAAAGTTACGCTGTCTTGTTGCATGCACATATTGTTTAAGATTTGGATTAGAGCCAAAGATAATAGTGTCAATGAATCAACTCATATTTCACTGCTGACCATACAACTACCTGTACATTTTGTATGCACTTTCCACTTTTATTACCACCAGTGTATATTCTCAAAAGGTGGATGTAATGAGACTACGAATGACCTCTGACCTGTACCTTCTGTATACCGTATTGTCAATGTCAGCCATGAACATGTAGCAGGAATAAAGCACAAGCTGAGCGTCTGGACACTGTGTCTTTCTTATGTCTGTCCCAGGATGTCATCACAGTGGTTATAGAGGGAAGAGAACGTTGAGAGAAGCAGGTTACAGGCAGAATCAGTGTCTTGTTCATCAAACACTTCACCCCATTCATTGTTAGCAAGATCTGCGTTAAAAGAGAGCAAGATGTAATCATTAATGTCCCTTGAAAAAAAGGTCTTTTGGAAACGCACTGGATTCTGGAAGCGAGACTTAATTCCCACTGGTTGGTTGATAATAAATAAAACTAGTAAACAAATAAATGATGTAAGAATGTGTCATAATTGCCCGCTACAATATTTCTAGATCCATTTCAAGTTAAAATACATCAATCATTATTACGTGCTTGCTAGTGTAACATGCAAATCTGAGGAGAATTTATGTATGTGGCCAAACAGAGTTGTTGAAAAAGACACGGCCACAATGATAATAGCGTCTTTACAATGTTTTATTCAGAAACACCAACTGATATCATTGAAAATGTGGTGCTGATGAAGCTAACGAGGAAGACTGACCTGAAGGAAAACTTCAGGAAAAAAAGACGGAATATTCTGATGGTATTATGGAGCAGGCTCGGTGATAACTTCCTAAACCCACAGTCAAACTTGCGGCCGTACAATTGTAGACAAATTGTCTGGAGAGCTGGGAGTACTTAAAATTCCCAGGATGAACCACAGAGAAATACCGGTATCTGTAAGGTTACAAATCTACCACAAAAGGGAAATTCATTGACGGTATTGAAAAGAAATCATTGGCTGGGTTTAAAGCGTGACGAATTCTGGGTTTCCACTTATTGTGAGAGAGCAGTTCCTACATATGTGGGTTTTCTTTTTACTTATTTTTATTTTCTAATTAAAATATGACAAAAATTAATCCCAATCGATGAATGGATGAGACAAAAACAAGAAACAATCAACACGAAGAGCAAACAGCATGTATTTGCAAGCACGGGGCACTGAAATGAAAGAAAACAGTAAAGGCGCCCTCTATAAACACCATGGGGCAAAGGGCGACAGCACATGTCGCGTCGTGCGTCGCGTCGTGCTTCAGGCGACGTAATAGGTGTCGCAATGCACGACGCGACGCACGGCTGTACGACGCAACGGGCGACAGAAGGTGCGTATGGTGTACTATTTACGACAAACATTTCTCTCTCTCTTGCCTCCCTCCAGGCGACGCACCCAGACGACACTACGGCACGACGGCTCCCTTGTGTCGTGCCGTCGGTTCGAACCGTCGCTTTTTTGCCATTTCGTCTGTACACACACGACGCGTCGCGTCGTGCCTTCGCCCGTTGCGTCGTGCTGTCTTAGGTCCTTTCCTAGTTGCATTTTTTCTGCCTAAACGTCGACCCTTCCGTCGCCCGTCGCGTCGTGTGTCGTGTAGTGCATCATGTGGCCTGAAGCGCGAAGCACGACACGACGCACGACGGGAGGCGTCGTGTGCTGTTGCCCTTAGCTTCATAGTGTTTATAAAGGGCACCTTTACTGTTTTCTTTCATTTCCTTCCCCCGGCCCGTGCTTGCACAGTACATGCCATAGGTACCAGGCCTTAATTCTGTTGTTCTTTTTCGTGGATTCTTTCTACCTTTGTGTTTTCATTGAGAGTGAATTGTTGAAAAAAACGCTGTTCCTTTTTTTTTAATCAAATGTAATCAGAGAGAGCTTTGCGACTAATCAGCAATGTGTCCAGGAAATAAATAACATTAACATTAGGCTGGGTGGTAACGACTTAAAACGGTGGTCAAATTTACGGTGTTACAATACGGGCGATTCACAATAGTGCGCCTCCAAGAGTTTGCAACACGTTGACCATTTACAGTGCGCAAAATCTGTCGACCCAGTGCGCGTTTGAAAAAGGTCGACAAATTTCACGCACTGTAATTGATTAACGCGTTGCAATCTCTTGGAGGTGCACTGTTGTGAAATGCTTGTATTGTAGACAAATTGTCTGAAGGAGTGGGAGAACTACTTGGAAACTGCTGGCATGGACCTCGGAGAAATATTTATAAGGTTACAAATATACCACAGATGGGAACTTCATCAACGGTCTTAAAAGGAAATTGGAGGGACATTCGAACAAGGATCAGCGGGGTGAATTAAAAAGTAACGAATTCTGGGCCTACATTTATTATGTGAGAGCACCTACATACGCAGATTTAATTTTTGCTCGTTTTCATTTTTTTTGGATAAAATATGCCAAAAACTAATTAAATTTGATGGATGAAACAATACCCCCCCCCAAAAAAAATCAATGCCTGCAGCTCAGGGCATGTATTTTGGAAGCGCGATTGACAGAAATGAGAGAAAAGAAAAGATATCATTGCTGGGAAGTTAAGAAGTAACAAATTCTGGTTTTGCGGTTTCCACTTGATCTTGATAGAGCAGTTCCTACATATTGGGAATTTCTTTTTTTCTTTTCATCGTTTTTTCAATAAAACTTGACAAAAATAGCCCAATTAATGAAACGATGAGGTTAAAAACAATGAAAAATCAACACCAAGAACGAATTGCATGTACTTTGCAAGAAAGGTGGACGGAAATGAAAGAAAATGGTAAAGGTGCCCTCTATAAACACCATTAAGCAAAGGGCGACAGCACGCGTGGTGTCGTGCGTCATCTCGTGCGTCGCGTCGTGCTTCAGGCGACGCGATGCACGACGCGACAAGACGCACCGCACGACAGCACGACGCCACGGGCGACGGCACGACGCGACGCGTCGTGTGTGTACAAACGAAAGGACACGAAGGTGATGTTTCGACCCCGCGGCACGACGCAAGGGAGCCGTCGCGTCGTCTGGTTGCGTTGCCAGGAGGGAGGCGAGAGAGAGAGAGAGAGAAATGTTTGTAGTAAATTGTACACCATACCTGCCTCTCGAGAGCATCGATTTCTAAACCCAAATACGTTAATTTCTTAAGTGGACCTTCTTTTTTGTGCAATTGGCACGCCAAGCACTTTGCATACCGATTCAAA